GTCGGGGGGGCAGGAACCGGGGGACGGGGGACCCGGGGGGGCAGTTCCCGGCGGTGGGGGAGGGGGGACCCCGGAGTAGGGGGGGGCAAGTCCCGGGGAGGGGGACCGGGGGGGGGGCGAGGTCCCGGCGGTGGGGGAGGGGGACCCCCGGGGGGGGGTCGGGGGACAGGTCCCGGCGGTGCGGGAGGGGGATCCCGAGGGGGGGTCGGGGGGCAGGACCCGGGGGGGGGACAGGTCCCGGGGGGGGACATCCCGGGGGGGGCAGGTTCCCAGCGGTCCCGGGAGGGGGATCCCGGGAGGAGGGGGGGGGGGTCCCGGTCTCTCCCGGACTCACGCGACGGCCCCGCTCCCGACTCCGGCTCCGCTCGACACACAGAGCAGCGGAAACGACGCTTCCTGCCGCCCGGATGCTCCGCCCCCTCGTTTGCATACAGAGCCCCGCCCTCCCGCTTCTATACCACCCCGCCTTCGCGGCAAGCCACGCCCCCTCCGCTGGACCACGCCCCCTTCCCCCTATTGCTCCACGTTGTTTTCTCCCGCGCTGGCCACGCCCCCTGGGCGATATCTGCTCGCCTAGCCACGCCCACTGGTCAATATTTGCATGCACAGCCAGGCTCCCTGCCCCCACCTCAAGCTGGTATTAGGCTGCTGTTTAAGAACAGTGAGCGCAGAAGTTTCTGGAGCTCAGGGACTCACCTCCAGGTTCTCGAGGGGTGCGAAGTTCGGGGTGAGATTGGGTGGCGTCAGGAATCCGTCATCTGCAATATCCCTGATTGGGGTCAAAGGTTAACGGGTCAAAGTACAGCCATTGAGAGAGGAGGGCCTGTTGTCCATATAATGGCCTTGTTCCGGGGTGGATACGATGACGAGGCTGGATTGACCCCGATTTGGTGAGATTTAACGTTCGCTGAGTTGATGGGTCCAGTTCCTATCGTCCAAGGGGCAAAGTCGATGCTCGATGCGGCTCCGGCTCAGGCCTCCTGGGACTGCCGGTGGCCGGTGACGTGGCCGGGGCAGATGTCCCTGGACCAGCGGAGGGTGTCTGAGACCAGGAGGCGCCGCACGAGCCGTGCGTAGCATTGACCGATCCCGCAGGTCCGCAGCAAGCGCTCGTGGCAGGGGTCCCAGGGGCCCGGGGCTCCGATGATCAGGGCGTCCATCTGCACCTCGCTCGCAGGGCGTCAGGCCGGGGGGGGGGGGGCACGTACTTTTGCAGCTCACAAGCCCAGGCTTCACGAAAGGCCGGGGTCCTGTTCTCAAAGGAGACCCTGACGTCAACAAGGAGGATCTTTTCCTGGGCCTCGTCGGTGACTTGCTGGTCAACTTGAAGGCTTTACCCTGGGTTTACGCTTCAGGGTTTCCACGTACAGCGAGTGGACGGCGGCCATCGGAGTCCTCTCCAGCAAGCCCCTGGCGCTCGGGGTGACGATGGTGTTGGCCTCCGACCTGATCTGTGGCACCAGCACTCCCAGTGCCTCGCACCGCTCCCAGCGGCAGCCAATGCGCTTCCCCAGGCGACGCGGAGCGAGTGCGGGACCACAGGGACGTGATGTCGCCCCCCTCCCGTCCGAATTCGCCATCCAGGGGGCCGCTCGGGAAGGTGGAATCCTCCACCCCGGGACAGGGGCAAGCGAGAGTAAAGTGGCAACTGGGGACAGGAAGGGGCGACTAGGGTAGAGGGGACAGGCGCCGCCCCCATTCCCTGTCCCCCTGAGCCAGCCCATCCCCGACACTGGGGCCAGATGGGAGCCGGCGCCCCCTATAGGGGACAGGCCCCGGGCCCCATTCTCCACCCCCCTGAGCCAGCCAGTCCCTGCGGAGAAAATGCAAGAGTCCAGGAGGGAATTCGCCTTCATCCCTTGTTGCCCAGCGCTGCCACGGTGACCACCGTCCAATCAGAAGGCAGCGAAGTGTTTGGTCCCCCGAGAGGTGATGGAGGGTGTCTGTGCAGTGCGGGGGGTTGGGGGGGTTTGCTGTGAAGTCTCCCTTGGAGGGGGATGATCTGACCCCAAGTGGCATGGGGTGATTTCCCCCTGCCCCCTTCCCGGCGGGGAAGGGGCCTGGGACCAGCTCGAGTTGGGGGGCAGTGTGTAAAGAGGCATGAGGGGCAGGAAGTGAGTTCATACAATCACCCCCATAAACACAGGCACCCTCCCCTCCCCTTTCCCTGCCAATCCCCTCTGAGGTGACCCCCCAAAATCATGGGCCTGTCCTGCCCTTTGCTGGTAGCCCACCAGACAGGGCCTCTCTCCCGCCGTGGGTCTGGGCAGCGCCTGGCATGACGGGGCCCTGATCTCAGCTGGGGCAGGGACTGTCTTTGCCCTGGCCCTGTGCAACGTGGGCATCTTTAAAGCCAGCCACCGGGCCTGGAGGGATAAGAAACCAAAGCCGATTATGGAGGAGACAATCGGATGGCCTCCCCCGGCTGGGGGCTGGGGCGGGGGGGTCAGATCTCATCCATCCCTCCCCGCCCCCCAGGTCAGACCTGCCAGAGCCGAAGCTGGAGCCAGACTCAGAGCCGGTATCCCCATTCCCCTCAACGCTCACAGGTCTGAGATTGGGGTGTGGGTGCGGGGGGATGCCCCTCTCCTATCCCTGAAGACTGACAGCCAGAATGAAAAGAGGGGCTGGGAGCCAGGACTCCTGGGTTCTCTCCCCTGCTCTGGGAGGGAAGGGGAGTCTAGTGGTTAGAGCCGGGGGTGGGAGGGGCTGGGAGCCAGGACTCCTGGGTTCTCTTCCCACCTCTGGGAGGGGAATGGAGTCTACTGGTTAGAGTCAGGGAGGCTGGGAGCCAGGACTCCTGGGTTCTGTCCCTGGCTCTGGGAGGGGAGTCTAATGGTTAGAGCCGGGGGAGGGCGGGGCTGGGAGCCAGGACTCCTGGGTTCCATGTGTCCAAGGGGAAACCATGAACAAGTCCGTCTCCTCCACATACCTCAGTTTCCCTCTCTGTGACCAGGGAGGACACAGGGGGCCTGTGGCGCTCAGTGAATTTTTCTCTCCAGGCCCAGCCGGAGTCCGGCCACCCCCCCACACACCATGAACGCGACGGGACGGGGAGACACGTAAGCTTGGGGATTGGAAGGGGGTGGGGGGTGCATTAAGGGGTGTGGGGCAGTGTGTGTGGGGGGGGGGTGTAGTGTGTTTGGGGCAGAGTGTCTGTGCACTCAGCCCATCCAGTCCTTGTTAATCCCTAATGAGCTAATCCTGCTTTATCGGGGTGGGGGAGGGGGGTAAATTAGCAGTTGTTGCTTCCCTCATTCCCCCTTCCCTACTTGCTGGGGTCCCTCCTTGCAGGGGGTCTCTACTCTGGCCCCCCCAGGGTCTCTTAGACCCTTCCAGGGGCCTCCCCAGGCCAAGGCCCCCAAATTCCCCTCCTTAGATACCCCCTGCTTTGTGACCCCCCCCCGAGGCTCTCAGACCACACCCCAGAGGGGCCACGTCCCAGCGCCGGGCGAGGGGCCCCCATAGACCCAGCCCCCGCGCCCCGTCCCAGCGCTGCATGGCCAGGGAACATCCGGGGGCACCTATGACATCACAAACCCTGGCGCCGTGGCGATCGGAACCCCCCACCCCGGCCGTGGCCGTCCCTGGGCCTGGTGAAGGCAGGGTCTGCTGGGGTGGCCCCTGGGTGGGTGGGTGGCTGGCGGCGAGATGGCACGGAGCTCCTACCGGCGCCTGCCCTCCCGCCCCACCTCGCCGCCCGACGCCCCCGGCTCCTTCTCTTCCAGCCGCCTGGGCGAGGAGCCCGCGTCCCTGCGGCAGCAGAAGCTGGAGCTGCAGGTAGGTGCCCGGGGCGGTGCCCTCGCATCTCCTAGGGGGTTCTGGGATCGAGGGGATCGGGGCTGGGAGCGGTGCCCCCTGGCCTCTGGGGGTTCTGAGATCGAGGGGATCGGGGCTGGGAGCGGAGCCCCTGAGGGGTCTGGGATTGAGGGGATCGGGGCTGGGAGTGGTGCCCCTAGTCTCCGGGGATTCT